GGGAGTTGGTTGCAAAGCCTGCGGTCGCCCTCAAGATGCCTCCACGACGATCACGGAGTCTGAGCACGCACCGGTCAACACTAACCTCGCCCAACCTTGGTGCTACAAGCGCGTCTGGCCACGGCGGCCGCCGCGGCCGCGACGGGTCGGGCTGCTCGTTGGCGAAGTAGCGGCCCCGTTCGAGTTGCAGCCGCGCCGCGCGGCCGCGGAATCGAATCGGCCGCGCGGGGCCGCGCCCTCGTGGGAGCGCTTCCAGGCGACGTTGCTCCGCTTGTGGAAGAACGTCGCCCAGCGACCGAATGGTCGGCGAGCCGGAGACACAATGTCCACCAGGGGCCCGCATTGTCGCATGTGCACTTCTACTGCTCGTTGCTAGCCCTCGCCGTTCACGCCACAGCTGGCGCGACCACATGTCGCGATACTGACGTTAGAACAGGCGTAGATGTCGCAGCCTCCAGGTGCACCGCTCGAAGGTGCCTTCGCACTCGGGCTGAGAAGCTGCATCTTCAGCGCATTGAACTCGCGTCCGTCGGCGTCGCGGTGATCCTGGCCGTCGTCGCCAACAGCCAGCAGCGCGAGCTGCTTGGGCGGCAGACCCCCGGAACGCGGCTGGATCTTGCCGAAGCGACGCCTGCTCGGCGCCGACTCCAAGGCGAAGTGGACGGCGCCTGGGCCACGCGCGATCTCGTAGCCGCCCAGTCCGGGGAAGGCGAGGCGCTCGTGCGTCGCGCCCGTCGCCACTGCAACGCTATTGGACCGCAAAGTTTGCGGACCTAACAGGTAGACCGCCGCCCGCGCCCTCCGCCGCTGGAGAGTCAACTTCTGCCGCGCAATTGGTTTGACGCTAGACCCCGAAGTTTGCAATTTCACACGCGTGGCACTCCGGGCCAAATCCTCGGCGAGACGGATGCTCCAGAGAGTGGTCGAGGCACAGGCGTCGACGACGACGCCTAACCGGCCGCCGGATGCTGACGTTCTTGCCAAGTAGCATTGCGAGTCGCCGTGCGAGCTCGAGCCGGCGCGCGACGAAATCGGCCGCCACGGAACTGTCGGCCCACACGAGGCCATGCGCAAATCCAAGCGAACGTCGCAAGGTAGCGCCGCGTCTACTGCTGACGCGAAACTGGCGGGCGCGCGATCTGCATCTATGAAATGGACGTCGGCGAAGACATCGGCTGCTCCGCGGCGCGCCGGGCCGTGGACAAAGCTGGCGCCGGCGCCCCGCACCTGCGGGGGGCGGTGCGCGCGGCGCAGACTGCGCCGGCACTGCAGGCGCACAGCTCCCTCGCCGTGAAAGAACACCACGAGACAGATGGGGCGCCCCCAGTCGTCGCCAGCGAACACAGTAAGAGAAGGAAACGCAGCGGGCGCCGCAGCTGGCACGGGAAGAAGATTGATAAGGTTTCTGTCCAACTCCGCACGGCACGGCGCCGCCGTTCGTCTGGCTGTCGCAGCAGCTCCAGCGCTAGCTGTGCGCTGTGGAACTCGACAATGCGTCGCTCGCGGGCGCAGTCGCGCGCGGCCCGCGCGTCGCGCCCGCATCGGCCGCGGCCGAACATCCGGGCCTCGCGACCGGCGAACCACGTGGCACTCTCCCACATTGTTGGCTCACATATACTGGTCTGTCTGGGCTACAGAGAGCCTGTCTATGGGATGCCCCGGCACTGGCGGCGGCGTGGGCGCTGGCACTGACTGAGGTGGCCACGTGGACTTTGATCTACGTGGCGCACTGATTCCGAGCGCGGCCACTGTTGGCACGTTTTCCAACTTGGCAAGTGCACGTCGGCTGCCGGAGTCGCAGGGGCGGCAGCTGGCGCGCTGAGGCCGCCCAACCAATCGCGCCCCCAGGCTTGTCCCGGACGAAGTGCGCCGCCTACTCGCGCCCACCGCGGCGGCGTTAATAGCGCTGCCCGAGCAGTCGGCGCCGCGGGCGCGGCCGGCGCCGGACCCCCCGCCGCCGCCGCATGGGCCCGCGACGCAATCGCAGGACCCGAAGACTGAGCGCAGGCCTGCGCGCGGCCCACCGCGTGGTCGGAAGTCTCCTGCCGCTGTCGTCGCAGTTCGGCGTCGCGCAGGTTGGACGACGGCGACGAAGACGACGCTGCCCCGCCCGGCCCGTCGCGTCCGCCGGCAGCGGCCAGACTGCTGCCGCGAGCTGTCAGGCGACGAACTCGAAGTGGGCGCCCGCGGCGCCGCCGACGCTGGCGCCCGCCATCCGCGTTGCAAGGGCCGGCGCCCTCCGCGGGGTCGCTCTCGCCAGGGCCCGCAGCCGCGGGCCGCCGAGTTCCGTCGGCGCCCCCAGCCACCCAGGCCGCGCACGCACCCGTCAAGGGCCGCTGCTCAGCCAGGCTCGGCGGCCCGCAACTGTCCGAGCGAGCGCGCGAATAGCGCGGGCGCCGGCAGCGCGGCGCAAGCGCAGCGGCCGAGAGCGCGTCCTGAGCGCCAGAAGGCGCACCCCACCAGGGCCCATAGAGTTGCCTTGGCGGCCCAAACCCTTGCCAATGGCCCTAGATTCCCTTCCCTCCCCTTCACTATTGCCCTTCCCGAAACCCGCGAACGTCTCTCGACGGTCACTGTCGGGCGCGGGCGCGGCGGCCCTTGCCGCGGCCCGCGCCGTTCCCCCCGATGACCCTTCGGGCGCGGCGCGCGGGCTGGCCGTCGCCGGGGCGCATCGGCGCGCGCGCGCGCAAGCCCAGAATAGGGGCGCGCCGCGCTGCCCCACGAGAACGCCGCGCAATTCGGGATTGTCGGCGGCGGTCTCCAGCGCCGAATGAGCCGATGGCGCGGGGGGCCTGCGCCCGAATCGACGCCCGCTGCTGGGATTACCTCCTGCGCCCGCGGCGCTGACGCAGGCGGGCTAGGCGCTGCCCCAGGCGCAGATGGGCCCGGGCCGCCCCAGCTCAATCCGGCCGCGGCGCCATAGACACGCCGAGCCTGATCTTGCGCGGGCGCGCCCGCGAGGTAGGTCTGCCGCTGGGCCGAGTGAACCACTGAGGCGAGATTGCCCGGCGATCCCTCGACCATGTGCCAAAAGCGTCGCAGCCTGCCCGCCGCGCGCTCGACCGGCGCCGCGTTGGTCGGGCAGGCCCAGGACCATGGTCAGCTGAACGCATGACACTCCGACCGCGCGCGAGGAAAAGTAGCTGAGACCCTCGTAGCCGATCATGAACTGACCAGCTCGTTGCGCGCGGTTGCGGAGGACGTCGCAGCGCGTGAGGAGGTTGTAGACGCGCCCCAGCGGCAATCTGTTGAAGCCCACGAGCACTGAAACTGCTGAAAGGCGCCCCATCCTCGCCCAGTTGGCCCCATCGCTCGGCAAAGCTTCGCATTGGGAAGGTCATCGGTTGCACTGGGTCGCCGTTGGCGCGCCCGCCTTGGATCACAACGGCCCCCGGCCATTCGGAAATAAACTCGCGCGCCATGCCAGTGAGTCGCGACGATGCGAAGAATGCCCGGCGAAACTCTTTGAGGTCTGAATTCGCCACTGACCAGATCATCACATCCAGCACCCATCGCTGAAAAAGGCACTCGAAATTGCTGCTCGGGCCCCCTGGCGCGGTGGTGAGGTACGTTGCCACCGCCGCCGACGCCGCTTGCGTCAACGCAGGACAGGCAGCCATGCCCACCCCGACGGCCTTCCATCAGGAGTGAAGGCCCCATCCATCATTCTAGGAGGCGCTGGATGCCGGGGATCCAACGAAGGCATTGCTCTGACCACGAGCCTCGCAGACGTCGTGGACACCTGCCCCGGACGTGCTCCTCCTCGCCAGCGCATTGGGCGAAATATTCCATCGCGTCTTTGTTGCGTTCTCGGCACCCGGGGCATCCCGCAGCATAGTAATAGAATGCCCTTCGCGCAGCACGTCGTCACCGTACTGGACAACACCAACTACACGATCGTCGAGAGGAGTGCGCATCGGGAACCCGCCTGGCCAAACTGAATGAACGGGTGTGGCGGCAGGTCAACTCCCAAGAAATCGCATAGTGATCGTCCCAAATATGTCTCGCTGCCCCTTGGAGCGCTGACGCCATAGTCGTCACACCCTGCACGGATGTCTCAATGTTGCGTTGCTTTCCCAGGGCTCTCGTAGCACACTTGCGAGTAGTTCGGGGTCCTTGGCCGTAGGTGCTCACTCTTCACTCTGTATCGTTCAACTGTTCACTATACGAAGCTGAATCCACTTTGTGGCTATTTCCAGCTGCGGGGGGGCTACGTGGCCGTAGGATCCGCGAGCTGCCCTGACATAGTCTGCGCGAGCCCCGGATGAAGAGCAGGCGGGGGCGGCAAGGCGCCGCGGTCCATGTAGACCTTGAAGTCGTAGTCCTTGTGAGGGTTGTCGTAGACCGAATCCCATGTCACGAGAGACGGAGAGAGCGCCGCGAGTGTGAACTATACGATGGTGTGGAATCGGTGTGGAAGCATGGTGTAAGAAACGGTGGGGTACACCCTGCGAAATGCTTTAGAAATCATGGGTTAAGAAACTCATAGTCTCAGAACTTGAATAAAAACCCAATTTTTGATTAAAGATCTTGGGATTTGCATTGAAACATTAAGAATCATCGAGACTCTGGCCGAAAACTTGGGTTTTCTTAAGCATCGCCTAAGGTGTAGAGGATGCTGTTGTCGTCTGGACCTTGCGAACGGACAACGCCGCACGGGCCCTGGCGCCGGAATGGCAAGAGAGCCGAATCCATGCTGCCAGCGAACAGATGAAAAGTGGAGGTGGAACGGATGCTTCTGCTTGCGAGCAGATGAATAAAGCAGGTCTGAAAGGAGTATCATACAGGCACGGAAGGCGGCCGCCGTCCGCCCTTCGAGCAAAAGCGGCGGAAATGGCGAAAGGAGACGATTGGGCAAGAGACAAGGCAATACCTACCGTTCGAATCCCCGGGGCCCAAACGCACCAAGGTCCCGAGCTGCGTCCAGCCGTGGCGACGGGGGGCCCCCCCCCGAAGGCCAACTGCCGTTTGTCTCAACTCGCCCTCCTCCGCGCCCGTGCCTACACCTGAGCTTGGAACTGCATCCCAGGGCCCACGCCGGCCGGGACGATCACCTGAAGCTGCCGCCCGTCTGGGGCCTGCACGAGGAGCGCGGAGCCGGGCCCCATGCCTGCGGGGCACGTGATCTGCATCAGGCTCGGCTGGGGCACCGCGACGGCTTGCGCGACGACGGGCTGGGCGGCGACGGCCACGGGCTGCGCGTAGGGGTTGGGCTGGCCCATCATCGGCTGCGCGAAGGGCTGGGCCGTCATCGGCGCCAGAGGTGGCCCGGAGGGGGCAGGCTGCCCCACCATCGGCTGCGCCATCGCCTGCGCCTGCATCGCGAAGCCTTGACCGACGGACGACACGGAGTTCTGCATCTCCATCGCGGGCCCGCCAGCAACCTCGCGCGCCCGCCTCTTCTTGGGCGCGCCAGCCTGCTGGCGCACGGCGCAGGCGCAGGCGCAGAGCGCGACGCAGGCGAGCAGCATGCCAGCGCCGTAGACGGGCCGCATGAAGAGCCAGACCACCGCCATGACGAAGAGCGAGCAGGAGAGGCCGACGCTGCACGAGATGACGCACAGCACGGTGTCCACCACCCCCTCGATGAAATCCTCCAGGTAGCCTCCGACGCAGGGTATCATGTTCGCGAGGCCCCCGAAAGCTTCGGCGATGGCGGAGATGGGCGACAGTATGCAGAAGACGCTCAGCCACGCCAGCGCACACAGCACAATTCGCAGGATGATCACCATGGCGGCGTTGGCCGCGTGCAGGTTATCTACGGCGTGCTCCTTCGAAAAGGTGCCCTCCACCAGCGCCTGCCAGGGCTTTCCTGGGCAGCCCCAGGAGGAGGGCATGCTCTGCTTCTTCTGGGGAGCACGAGGGGTACACCTGCCAACCACCCCTCCCCCAAGATGGGGCCGCCCAGAAGGGGACCGAGTAGATGAGGTCGAAGGACCGCGCCGCATCGCCGATGCGTCGGGATGGAGGAGATCGGGAACGAGGAGGGGGGACGTCGGCATGGAGGAGATCAGGAACGAGGAGGCTGCGATGCACTGCCGATGCGTCGGGATGGAGGAGATCGGGAACGAGGAGGGGGGGACTATAGCTCACGGGGGAGGAGATCGGCGATGCCTCGCCGACACGTCGCCAAGAGTCCCCCCCCCTCCGGCGTGGCCCCGGACGCTCCTCCACCTCGAGACTCCACCTCGAGACTCCACCATTCCGCCCCGCCCTCGAGACTCCACCTCGAGACTCCTCCCTCGAGACTCCACCTCGAGACTCCACCTCGAGACTCCACCTCGAGACTCCACCATTCCGTTCCAGGGCGGTCAGCCAAGTTGCTGGGAGCGTGCGGGCCTCCGGACGCACAGGAGGAAGCCAAGGCCCGGAAGCAGCACGGGTTAGATGAGGGATCTCTGAAATACGGCGGCTCTGGAGGATGTATTTGGAGGCCACCTAGATGGGCGGCCGACGCGCGCGATTGGCCCGCATGGTATTATTTGAAAGGAATCGTGCCCCTCCCCGCAGCACGTGCGCAAGGGCGTTCGAATGATTTCGACATGCGGCGCGAGAGGCCCGGTAGGTCGAATTTGATGAACATGTTGAAAAAAAACCTGTAGTGTTCTGAAGAATTGGCATAAATGTGTTGCTTGACACCTGATGTCGCAAAACGATACAGGTGTTCTATGTTTCGAGACACTCGATGTTGAAATCCTTACGAAATCCACTGCTTTTGAAGGACTCCAGCATGCGCCCGCGACGACACGCGCGTGCGCACTTCGTCCGTTCTGTGCAAGGGAACATTGCGACAGTACACGCGCAAGGGCGCTCGAACGATTTCGACATGCGCGCGCGAGAGGCACGTTTGGCAGCATTTGATGAGGATGCTGAAAACAATCGTTTTCATGAGAACACGCAAGAGCCCGAGCGCATGCTTTTTTGAAAATGCTTGTTGCCACACTTTCTTCATAATCTGGTTTTCGGGCACTCGATTTTTGAATCCTTCTGCAACCGACTGTTTTTGAAGGACTTCGGCATGCGCGCGACGACGCGGGCGTGTACACTTCGTCATAAGCGTCGCAAGGGATTCTTGGAAACTGATGATTCTTGATAAACGAGCGTGCGCGCATAGCATTTTTGCAGAGGATGGGGGAGAGATAAGAGACTGCCTGCGATGGTATGAGTGCATACTTGGGATGAACGATGGGGCAGACTCAGATGTGTATTGCAATACAAAGGGATGGTGCGCTAAGTCGGGGTGGGGGGAAGGTAGATCCAAATACATCTCTAGATAAGAGAATAGATGCGGGAATATATGCGGTGCAATCCATGTTGTGCAATCGAGGGCGGCGACGAAGCGGCGACGGGGCAACGACGGCGACAGTATAGCCGCCAGACCGCCACACTGGCCCCGACGACGGGCGGCAACGAGGCGGCAACGGCGGCAACATAGCCGCTAGACCGCCACACAGGCCCAGACGGCGGCCGCGAGGAAGCGGCGACGAGGCGGCGACGGCGACGACATGGCCGCCAGACCACCAAACCGGCCCAGTACCTCAGTAAGAAACAGGAGTCCTGTGCATACACACACGCGTATATATATATATATATATACACATACATACAAACAACGATATCTATACATATATATATATAGAGAGAGATATTCCTCGTCCCCTGCCCCCACAGGGGCCTCGGGGCCTGATATGTGCATGTATGCATGCATGCATGCATGCATCTGTATGTATGTATGTATGAACGTCTGTATGGATGCATGGATGGATGGATGGATGGATGGATGGATGTACGTCTAAAGGAATGTATGTGTATATATATATATATATACATATACATGTACTACAAACATCGCGCGCGTTTCGCGCGCGCGCTCAAGTTCTAGCTAGGTTTGATATGATAACTCATGTAATATCATGTTGGTCGCGTCTTGCGTCCGGGGACTCCCTTGGAGGCCCTGCGCAAGCCTCGCAATCGTATAGAAGGGGAAGTGCGGAAACGCAGAAATCATGAATTTCCTTATGGTATTCAGAGATTTGGGGGCCCTCAATGGCTTCCTGGGTTCTCTTTTGGGAGGTGACGGGGTCTGCATTGTGGTCTGTTGTGCAAGAGCAGACCGGGAGCCAAACTTACAAACAAAAAAAAATATGAAACATATGGGATCTCAATTGCTTTCCAGTTCCTCGGCGCTGTTCGGCGCTGTTTTTTTGTTTCTGCCTCGCGGGTTTTGTTAGCTGGGCCCCTCAAGGGTGTGGGATCTTCCGGACCCCCTGGGAGCTCTGGAGCCCTCCTGGAGACCTGGAGAGCCGTCGGAAGGGTGTCTCGGGCTGCGCGGGAGCGTGTCGGGCCGTTCTGTACGTTCTGGGGGCTCCTTGGGGTCGTCTTGGGCTGTCCTTCGGCGTCTTGGGTGCCCCCCGGGAAACCGGGAGGCGCGGTACCGGCCAGATGTCAGGGGATGTGTGGGACCTCCGAGTAGAAGTCCCACTTTGAAAAAAAGGGATTCTGGGAATTCTGTGTTCTTTTTTGCCAAATCCTCGATCTTCGAGGGTTGGAAGCAGGAAAACGTGAGAAGGCGAAAAATATTAGAAAAACCATTGGAAATCAACGAGTTTACCCTCTTTCGGCTCTCTCGGGACGGCTCTCGCAGCTCTCTTGGGCTGTTCTTGGAGCCTCGTCGGGGTCTTTTTGGGGCCTCTCAGGGATCGGGGGGGTGTTGGGAGCCCTTGGGGGGTCTCCGAGGCCTCTCGGAGGTCTCTGGAAGCCTCCTGCTCCCGCTCTTGGGCCCTGCTTGGGCCTGTTCTGGGGTGGTCTGGGGCTGTCCTGGGCGCCTCGTCGGCTGTCTTGGAGTCTTCTTGGCCCGTCTTGGGGCCGTCCTGGGGGTCTCTTGGGTGGTCTTGGGGCGGTCTTGGGAGCCTCTTCGGCGCTCTTGGAACGTTGGAAGCTCGAAAACGCGAGAAGCCAAAAACATTGGAAAAAAAAACCCATGGAAATCTATGACGTTGGCCTATTCGGGCCGTCCCGGGACGCCTCTCGGACCTCTCTTGGGTTCTCTTGGAGGCCACCTGGGAGCCTCGAGAGCCGTCGGAAGGCTGGCTTGGGCTGCTTGGGAACGTCTTGGACCATCCTTTCGCATTCTAGGGGCTCCTGGGAGGCGTCTTGGGCCCTCCTGGGATGCGGTGGAGGCTCCCCGGAAAGGCCGTGGGAGCGGTACCGGGAACGTTCCCGAGATGTTCCGGGGAGGTTTGGGACCCAGGGACGGGGGGGCGGTATAGATTTATATTATATATGTATGGACGGAGGTATGTATGTATCTGTGTATGTATTAGTGCTATGCCTCTGCTATGCCAAGGTAGCTGCAGTCCTCTGCTCTGCTACCTGCCAGGAGGGGCACATGTGTACGACTATAAGAATTACGACTGCAGAAATGTGCATACATACATTGGCATACACGCTTGTATACACATGCATGCATACACACATTTGTATATGCAAATACCGATGTACCTTATGAAATGGGGGGGCCTATTGCTTTCGACGGTGACGTGACTGCTCTGCGATTGACTTGAATTCCGATGGTGCTCCGAATGGTTTGCACTGCTGCCCCGATTGACTATACTGATTCAGAAGTATGTGCCAACTGCGTCCCAATTGGTTTGCGATGGTGTCCCGAATGGTTTGCGCTGGTGTACCGTGTAATTCGCGATCCTGTCCAGATTGATGTGTCATGTGCGATGGTGCTTCGACGGTATATAGACTCGTCTGCAATGGTGCCTCGACTGTGTTGCGCTGGTGCCCCGAAAGTGGTGCCGTGGTATCCAACTGAGTTTGTAATTGATTCGCGATGGTGCCTCGATCGACGTCCGACTGTCCCTGCTGGTGTGCGGCGGTATCCCTTTCGTATCGCAACATTCAAGTCCATGCCCCATCCCATCATCCATACCGTACGTAAGCCACGTAAACAGGACGACAGGATTTCAGCCACAACAAGCCTCCTGAAGAAATGGCAAGCATGAAGCCCAAGTAAGACGGAATCAAGGAGTGGGAGCCAGGATGCTGATTGCAGGCCTCTTTGAGCCAGGTGAACTCGAGGCACCCTGAGAAAGTACAGACAACTTATTGATTCGCATCCCCACTGGAGGTGTACCACTCCTGCTCACCGTCTTCGTCACTCCCTCCCCCGCAACGTGGGTGAACACCGACACGGCCTTGGCGCCATTCTTCTGGAAGCGGAGCCTCAAGCACCCAACAAATGGGACCCCCTGCGCAGTGTATCGGCAGTCATTCCGGGATGTCTGGGGCCCAGGAGTCGATCCACTATCCGCCACCGCGCCTGCGGCATGCAGGCTGCACGCATCCGAGCGCCGAGCAGAGCAGAGCAGAAGAACTGCAGGAGAAAACGCTCGGAAGTCCGCGCGGACCTTCTGGGTCCAGCGCCGCCGGGGGTGGGGGTCAGCGCCAACCCAAGAGATCCGCGCAGACAGCCGATCGGCTCCGCCCTCTGCCCACCTCTCCGTCGCGCCTCCCCTCCTCCCTCCCCTCGTCGTCGTCCTCGTCGTCGGTCGTTCCCTCACCGTGCCGCTAGGCCCCTTCGCGATGGTAAACAAAAGTGTGCGCACGCCGCCTGTCACTGTGACAAACAGGGCTGCCGGGGTTTCTCGAGTGCTTGCACGTGCGGCCAAGAAGCCCCATCTCCCGAGTCCGCCTGCGGGGACCTCTCCCCGCTCTGGCCCCATGCGTTGGGCCGCGGCCCAGCCTCTGCGGCACCCCTCGGAGTCCCTTGGAGTCGATCCAGCACGGACGCCTCCAGGAGTCCGCGATCGCCTTGGCGGCCTCGATGCGCCAAGGAGAAGCCAAGAGATCGTGTTGTATAACTTCGCGATATCTGCCGTTACCGCCCCCGCCGCCCCCCTCCTCCCCCCCAGGTGACGTCACGAGTCGTGCTGATCTCCGAGCTGGCTTCTATTCCTAGACATTCCCAGACGGCGGCTGAGCGAAACGAAACATTGCTGGCTCCCCGCCCCCCTTCCCCCATCCCGCCGATAACGCCAGCTATCGCCTGGCAATCAAGGTAAAAATCTCCGATGGGCCCTCGTAATACTCCAAGATGGTTAAGAGAGGCCACAGGCAGCCCAAACTTGTTCAAAACATCAAACACATGCAGGCTTCATGGACGCTGGCATCCATCTCCGCAGAGGGTCCGCGAAATACAGACACTCTTCAGATCTGTATATGATTATATGATGTGGTCAGGGCTCGACCTAAACGGTGTTTCTCGTTTTCGTTATGTTTTAGTTCCCACTCGTTGTGTTTTCGTTCCGCCTTTGCTGCAGAAGGAAGTCGAACCGAAAACGGCCCACGAAATCACTCAACCACGGTTTAAGTCCAGCCCTGGACGTGGAATCCTGAACTGGGGGAGAACAGGGAAGGGACGTCCAGCCGTCAGGCCACAAGCCGCAAGCCACAACTGCAATCGTCAGAGGAACGTGAGGACACGCAACGGATTGGCAAGACTGTTAGCCAGGCGCCAGCGCACGCGTAGCAGAGAGCGGGATCGCACTCTTTCTGGGGCTTCAGATGGCTCCAATGGATTCCAGAGGCCTCCCAGTTGTCCAAGAAGTTCCCACAAGAGCTTCAGACTGCCCAAGAGGTCCCCAAGATGGCCCCCAAGATGGCCCCAGTGTGGCGCAAATGCCCCCAGCTGGCCTACAAGATGGCTCCAAGACGGCCAACAGCCACCCCAAGACTGACCCGAGACCACCTGGAGGGCCCCAACAATGTCCGAAATGGCCCCCTGGACCCCAGGACCCCGTCCCCCCCCCCCCAGGGACGCCAAAATAATATCCCCAGTGAGGCCCCAGGAGAGCCCGAGGCAACCCCGAGAGGCCCCAGGACGGCCTCAAGAGGTCCCCACGATGCAGTCAGGGTGTTCAGGCACACGTGTGCCGACAGCACGTTGCCCAGACTCTCAGTGATCTGAAGACTTCTGTTCCTCCTGCTCCTCCTCCTCCTCCTCCTCCTCCTCCTCCTCCTCCTCCTCCTCCTCCTCCTCCTTCCTGCTCCTCCTCCTCCTGGCCCTCCTCCTCCTCCTCCTTGTCCTCCTCCTCCTCTTCCCGCTTCTTCTCTCCTGCTCCTCCTACTTCTCCTCCTCGTACTCCTCCTCCTCCTCCTCCTCCTCCTCCTCCTCCTCCTCCTCCGCCTCCTCCTCCTCCTCCTAGGAAGCCTGCCGTGGTGCCCGCTCCAGAGTCCAGAGTCCATGGCAAGGCCAAAAGCAGCTTCGCACTCGGTGGGCACTGGATACGGCAAGGCAATGTGTTTCCGTTTTCGTCCTTTCACACACTGCCTCTGGATCATGTAAGCTGCAAAACAAAAGTCACCGAAACGATAGAAAAGCAGGTTCACCGAAACAGCCTAGAAAAAGTCCTGCGACCCGAATGACGCTCGGAATCTCTTCGAAAACGGCTCGGGTGCAGGAAGAAACGGTGATCTGGACCAGGCCCCACCATGGGCAACACCAACGGTACAACACCGGCGACAGAAATGGCATAAAACTGAAAAGCGAAAACGGCGTGAACAAACACTGCCCCGTCGCGTCCCGCTCCCGGACCGCCCAAAGCGAAACTAGTGCACATGATCGAAGAAAGCGGCCGCGGAGGGCCTTGGACCAACGCCTCGAATCATGCTCTCCCGAGCGCGCCAGCAAAGGACGTGTGCGGCTGCGCCACTGGATGCCGTTCCTCTACCCTCCTTCCCCGGTCCTCCTCCCTTCTCCCAGAAGGACTGGGAGGAGGGGCAAGATGGAGGGGATGGAAGGGAGGAGCTACATCACAGTGTGCGGATTCCTGGGCCCCCAAGGGTCCGAAGTGGGCATCGGTCGGCACGACAATCTCTTGAAGCGCATCCTGATTCGGAGACAGCTGCACCACGAGGTCGCTGTTCAGGACGAAAGGCTTGGCTCCCTTTCCACTCACCGCGGTTCTGACGTCCGAGGCGTACTGCGTGTGCGATCCCAGCTTCTCTGCAGTGGCGGCCCTCAGTAGCCTGCGCCCGGGCCCCTGGAACTCGACGCCTGGGCAGGACCTCCTGGCTCTGTCAGTGTATGGGATGGTCGGCAGCTCCTTGTCTGACCACACCATACTGTACGTACATGATGTCTCCACTGTGTTACGGCCATTATGTTTCACTTTGGTTTCCTCGCAAGCTTCCTTGCACTGCGAGAGCTCTACCGTCATCCGTGCTGAAGCAGAGCTGAATTTCACGTTCTCAAGATCGCGCGCGTTCGTTCGATAGAATGCGTCGTCTGCATCGAGGAAGTCCGCCGCTGTAAAGTCCCGAAAGGACTGAGTGTCCAAAGAGCAGGAAAAATAAACGAACTCGTTGCTCACGCCACTGCTGTCGCACCCCTTCTCCTCGGCGTTGACCGAGGCGAATATTATGCGCTTCTGCTCACAGATATAGTTGTTCTCGTTCCAGCCGACCATGTACAGGGAAAGAGGGAACATCACGAGCCCGACGACCATCATGCCGCAAGAGCCCTGAAACTTCGCGCATGGTCCCTGCTCCCCCTCCTCCATTGGTGCGCGAGGGGCAACGGTATAGGGGGCGGATCAGCTCAGGGGGCAAAGCACCGACGAGGACCCGGCGATACACTGCCAACAGATCGGCGGTAAGCCCCCGACGGCGAATTCGCACTTTCCTGGGCCTGGCCATCGCTCGGACGTCCATTTCCTGTGTTTTGTTCGGTTTCGTGCGTGTTTTTTTCTCGAAATGGTCAAGGATGCTCCTCGACGGTCCTCGCCGAAGGAAAAATGCACACGTCCGAGCGATGCCAGGGGGCGGGGTGGGACCTTAGTGGGCCCTGGAAACGACAGGGCCGGTTTTGTTTCCGGTTCCGTTTTGCCGTTTTTTTTGCCGGTTCCGACGCCGATGTTTTTCCGGTTCCGTCGCCGTTCTTTTACGGGCTTCCGCTCCGGTTCCAATCCTGGAGCCGTTTTTGTTGCCGTTTCTGGTCGCCGTTTTTGTTGCCGTTCCCATTTTCAAAGGGCACTTGTCCGGAAACGGTGCAAAAACGGCCCTGCTGCTTCCGGACGCCCACGAAGGGTGGGACTATCAGACCCCTATAAGCGCTCGATGGACGATTGGGGGTCCACGCGGCCCCCTCCCCTGAGCCCATCCCCCCCCTGCGCTGCCCCCAAAAGTGCGACGCCGAGCCGGCGCCCGGTGGGACCGCTCGCGGCCTGCCGCCCCGGTCTCCCCGGACGTGCTGCAGCCGAAGCGGCTCCGGCGGGGGACTGGCCGGGAGGCGAAGGAATGAGGCGCGCCAGTCCGGGGGGGGGGAGAGACTGGGGTGAGGGACAGGGGGAGGAGGAGGAGGAGGAGGAGGAGGAGGAGGAGGAGGAGGAGGAGGAGGAGGAGGAGGAGGAGGAGGGCTGGGGTGAGGGACAGGGGAGGGGGGGAGAGAGAGAGAGAGAGAGAAAAAACAAAAAAACAAAAAAACAAAAAAAAAAAAAAAAAAAAAGGCGGCGAGGCCAGGGCGAGGAAGGAGCAGGAGGAGGCACCGGGGCCACGCGTGGCGGGCCGCAGCCGGAGGAGGCCTTGGCGGGCTTCTCGCCCTTCTTGTCCGGCCCGGGGGCGATGACCCCGGCGGACTGCCCCTTGCGGCGTGCCCTGATGGTCCGCTACCGAAAATTTCCGGTAGCGCTCCGCAGAGATCGGTCGCTACCGAAATACCGAAATGTAGCGCCCAATACCGGTATCAGACCGTTCTGAAATCCGCTATTCAGCGCCCTCAGACGAAGATCCGGTCGCTACCGAAATTCGGGGTGCGTCGAAATCGCTACCGAAAATTTCCGGTACCAGACCATCAGGGTGGGGCACAGGCAATGTCAGCAAGCTGATCCTTTGCCAGTGGATCGAGGTCGGCGGACCGCGGCCGCGTGCTTGCATACACAGATCTGCACAGGCACACGCACGCGCACATGACAGGAGGCAGTTGGTCTTCACGCGGTCAAAAAAGCAGCGGCACGCACATGCACCAAATTTCGCCCATGCATGCACGCAGAGATGTACAGACATAGATGGAGTGTGAGCTCACAGACATACGTGCAAATGTGTCCACCCTTTTAATGCACTGATTGTTATTCCTCCCCGCTCTCTTCCTTTCCGACACGAAATAATCCCCCTCGCCCGCTCACCCTCGTCCCTCTTCTCCACTCCTTCCTCCTTCTTTGCCCCTGCCACATCGAGGCCATCTTAACTCTCCACTGCATCCTCCTTCTCCGCCTCCTCCTCCTCGCCTCAGCGCCGCGCGCATTCGTCTTGAAAGTTTGCAGCAGTTTGAAGGCGTTGGTAGCGTTGAGGTATCAGGAATTGTGTTCTGGCAACAATAGGTTGGTCAGGACGCAACAGTCACAATGATTCGCGGAGTTGGAGTCTAAAGAACTGCATGTCTGACACGATTTAGGATAGGACTGTCGGGGCATAACAATTGCGTTGATCTGCTGCGTCGAAATCCCAGAGAACATGTATCAACACGATTGTGGACTCTCAGACGGTTGTCTTGTGATGGGCCACTTCTCGCAATGAGAGTCCGCCACCGTGCCTTCAACACAAAGTGGAGTGCCCCAGGCTCCTGCAAATCTGAGGGGTGGATGGAAGGGTTGTACGGATCTTGAAGGGCCGGACGGGACGAAGAAATTCCTAGAATTCCTGGGCGCTGCCGACGGCTCCTGGGGGCTTCCAGTGTGACTCGCGTGGTCCTCCCGGATGGTGCCCCTCGCCCAGGAGGGCCCCCAGAAAGCCAGAGGAGACCGCCCAGACAGTCCAGGAGGGCCCAGGCTCGCCGAAAGATCGCTGCAAGACGTCCGAGATGGCCTCTAGACGGCCCAAGATGCCTCCAAGACGCCCCAACAGGCCTCCAAGAGCATTCCCAAGAAGGCCCCAAGAGGCAAAGCTCATTGAATGTCCTTGGGTGTTTTGAAAGATGGTCGCGTTTCTGCCTTTTCGGCTACCCCCAACGCTCCAAGACGGCCCAAGAGGCCCTAAGGGTCGCCCCAAGACGGCCGAAGAGGCCGTCAAGAGGGCGCCGAGACGGCAAAAGAGGCCCACAAGACGGCCCAAGAGTCCTCCAGGATAGCCCAAAATTGGCTCCAAGAACGCCAGAGAGGGGCCCCAGAGATGGAATACAAGCCGACGTGTCGAGCTCGCCGCCCCAAGAGGCCCCCCAGGAGGCCCCGAGAGGACCCCAAGAATCTCCCCAGAAGCCCCAAGAAGTCCCCAGGAGGCCCCAAGGAAGCCCCAAAAAGGCCCCCAAGAGGATCCGACGAGGCCCCCGGAAGGCTTCAGAGCAGCCTCAGAGAGACTCAGGCACGGTGGCGGGATGGACCGAAGGCCATTCGATCCGCCGCCCCCGGGTGGTCTTGCCACAGGGGTGCCCGGCGTGCTGAACAATGCTGGTTTGGTCTTTTGACTACCTACCAGACCACCCCAACCCAACCCGGAGACCAGAATTTCGGGTTGGGGGGGGTAAGGGTTCCACATGTGTGTTTTCGATGTTTCTCGACCCCCCCCACTGGAAATCGAGGGTAAATCTGAGCCTTCGGGTTGGGTTGGGGTGGTCTGGTGGGTGGTGATCTTTTCCTTTTCCAGAAAGAGCTCTCCACTGGGGCCTCGGCGCGCCCCGCCTGCCACCCGGAGGACCTGGCCGCAGAAATTGTCCCGGTCCGGATGGCTCCAGGATGGCCCTAAGTGGCTTCCGAAATGGCCAGGATGGCCCCAACGTTCGCCCAAGATGATCCAAGATGGCCCCCAAGACGGCTCATGAGAGGGCTCCAAGTCCGCCCAAGAGGCCCCCAAGACGGCCCAAGACGGCCTCAAAATGGCCCTAAGACGGCCCAAGAGGCCCCCAAGAGGCCTCCAAGACGGCCCAAGAGGCCTCCAAGAGGGCCTCCAGGAAGGCCCGAGGAGGCCAAAATCATTGATTTTCCAAAGGTGTTTTAAGGATTTGAGCGTTTGCTTCTTGTCGGCCTTCCGACGGCCCGAGACGGCCAAGAGCCCCCAAAGGTCGCCCCAAGATCGCCCGAGAGGTTTCCAGGATGGCCCCAGTCCGGCCCAAGAGGCCCCCGAGACGGCTCCAAGAGGGCCCAAGACAAGAGGCCTCCAAGACTCCCGAGATGGCCTCCAAGACGGCCCTAGAGCACCCCACCAGGGCCCCAAGTCGGCCCAGAGAGGCCCCCAACCAGGTGCCAGCCAAGACGGCCCAAGATGGCTCCAAGATGGCCCTAAGACGGCCCAAGAGGCCCCGAAGAGGCCCCCAAGACAAGACGGCCCCAAAAACCTCCAAGAGGACCTCCAGGAAGGCCCGAAGAGGCCAAAATCGTTGATGTTCCATGTGGTTGAAGGAGTTGAGCATTTGTTCCTTGTCGGCCTTCCGACGTCCCGATACGGCCCAAGAGCCCCCAAAGGTCGCCACAAGATCGCCCGAGAGGTTTCCAGGATGGCCCCAGAACGGTCCAAGAGGCCCCCGAGACGGCCCCAAGAGGGCCCCAAGACGGCCCAAGAGGCCTCCAAGACGCCCAAGATGGCCTCGACGACGGCCCTGGAGCACCCCAAGAAGGCCCCAGGTCGGCCCAGACGCCCCCAACCAGGAGCCCGCCAAGACGGCCCAAGATGGCTCCAAGATGGCCCAAGACGGCATACGAGGCCCCGAGAGGTCTCCAAGACGGCCCCGAAAGCCTCCAAGAGGAGTTCCAGAAGACCCGAAGAGGCCAAAATCGCTGATGTTCCATAGGTCTTTGAAGGAGTTGAGTATTTGCTTCTTGTCGGCGCCCCGAGATCGCCCGAGAGGTTTCCAGGATGGCCCCAGAACGGTCCAAGAGGCCCCCGAGACGGCCCCAAGAGGGCCCCAAGACGGCCCAAGAGGCCTCCAAGACGCCCAAGATGGCCTCGACGACGGCCCTGGAGCACCCCAAGAAGGCCCCAGGTCGGCCCAGACGCCCCCAACCAGGAGCCCGCCAAGACGGCCCAAGATGGCTCCAAGATGGCCCAAGACGGCATACGAGGCCCCGAGAGGTCTCCAAGACGGCCCCGAAAGCCTCCAAGAGGACCTCCAGAAGACCCGAAGAGGCCAAAATCGCTGATGTTCCATAGGTCGTTGAAGGAGTTGAGGAAGTGTTTGTTTCTTGTCGGCCTTCCGACGGCCCGAGACGGCCCAAGAGCCCCCAAAGGTCGCCCCGAGATCACCCAAGAGGTTTCCAGGATGGCCCCAGAACGGCCCAAGAGGCCCCCAAGACGGCTCCAAGAGGGCCCCAAGACGGCCCAAGAGGCAAGAAGCCCAAGGTCGCCGCCAAGACGGCCCTGGAGCACTACAAGGACCCCAAGTCGGCACAGAGAGGCCCCCAAGACGGCTTCCGACGCCGCGAGACTGGCCAGGAATGCCCTAAGATGGCCAAAGAAGCCCCCGAGAAGCCCCCAAAGGCCCCCAAGCGTCCCAAGGAGGCCCCAAGATGTCTCCAAGAGGCTCCCATGAAGCTCCCAGGAGGCCTCAAGCGTGCCCCCAGACGCTCCCAAGATGCACCCTCCTCCTTCCCCTCCTCCTCCTCCTCCCCCTCCTCCTCCTTCTCCTCCTCCTGCTCCTCGTCCACTCCTTTCCCTTCTACATAATTTTTCCCTGCCGCACCCCGAGGCCAGTTGTTAGGGCGGACCGGGCGCTTCGCCGGAGACTTCCTCACCGCTGCTGACCGTGAAGATTACAATTGGCGACAGTTTCACAGATGGAGGGCGGGTTATTTTCAAACATTGTCTCTCGCCTTAGCGCCGCGCACATTCGTCTCAAACATGCGCAAGAGCTTCACGGATTGAGGGCGAGTGGTGTTCAAAATGTGTCTCTCTTTTTTTATGCCGCGCACATTCGTCTTCAAAATTTGCATGAACTTCACGGATTGAGAGCGACTCCTTTCCAAAATGTAGCTCTCGCCTTAGCGCCGCGCACATTCGTTTCAAACATTTGTAAGAGCTTCACGGATTGAGGGCGGGTGGTGTTCAAAATGTGTCTCTCGCCTTGGCGCCGCGCGCATTCGTCTTAAAAACTTGCAAGAGTTTCACGGGTTGAGGGCGGCTCCTTAGCGCCGCGCAGATTCGTTTTAATATGTAAAAGAATCATGGATTCCCATGACCAACGTACCAGGAATTATGTTGTGAAGTGGGCGCAACAGTTACGTTGGTTCGCGGTGTTGAAGTCTCAGGAATGGCGTTCAGGCACGATTCAGGATCGCCAAGACGTAACAATCAGGTTGATCCGTGGCGTTGGAATCCCGAGAACCATATTTTGGCATGCTTCAGGGTCTTCAAACGGTTTGTCTTCCAACGAGGCAGTTCCCTAAGTGGAAATGAACCGCTGTAGGGGCCTATGAAGAGGGAGCTTGGAGTGAAGGTATATTCCAACATCGTTGATGACTCTTGGGTTTGCTCTGGTCCTCGTCCTCGTCATCCTCCTCATCATCCTCCCTTCCTCTTCTTGATATTCCACCCCATCCTCCCCCAAGTGTTCACCGAAGGGTTTCAACAACGGTTGGGGGAACACGTGGTCCGATAGCTTGGCAGAGCTCTTGCCAAACGCTCGGCCACATTGGCGATTCCAATAGGTAGGGGGCGGCGGTGATTCGTTGTAGGCGTCTTCGTATATGTAAATTCTTGTAGGTACCTGTGATGGAACTTGGGGGAGGGTTCATTGCAACATCGTTGATGCGTCCTGGGTTTACACGTGTCCGCCTTCTCCTCCCTCTCCTCCTCCTCCTCCTCCTCCTCCTCCTCCTCCTCATCCTCCTCCTCCTCCTCCTCCTCCTCCTCCTCCTCCTCCTCCTCCTCCTCCTCCTCCTCCTCCTCCTCCTCCTCCTCCCCCTTTCCCCTCTTTAACTTATTCCCCAATCAGTGCTTGCACTGAAAGGGTCCTAGTGGAGATTGAAAGATTTGGCGAAAAAACTGGGCCGATTTCAATGGGCGGCCTGGTTCCCGGGCTCCCGGTTCCGGGTTCCCAGGGTCCCGGTTCTGGGGTACGGGTTCAGGGACGATTTCGGTGGGCGGCGGCGGCGGGGGTCCCGGGTTCCCTGGTTCCAGGTCGATCTTCTTATCAATCGGTCTCACTATCGATATCACAATCGATCTCACTATCGATCTCACAATCGATCTCACTATCGATCGCACGAGCGATCTCATGATCGATCTCACTATCGATCTCATTGGATCAACCTCACTATCGGTCCCACGATCGACCGTACAATCATCCTCGCTATCAATTCCAGTCGATCTCACGATCGATCTCACAATCTCAATAATGCCCCATGGCACTGATTTTCAGACCATCCGCGGATTGAGGTTCCTCTCCGGTGTAATACACAACTCCTCAATGTCGCACGCAATGGAATGGCTCATGGCGGGCTGGGCGTGCCGCCTGAGACTTCCTCACCATGCTTGACCCTCAAGCTCGACTTTTTCTCGACAGCGTCGCGGATGGAGGCGTGTCCTTTTCAAAGTGTGGCTTTCGCCTTCGCACCGCGCCCTTTCGTTGAAGAGCTTGCAACCATTTCATAGAGGGAGGGCCGGTCAGTTCCAACATGTGGCTACCGCTTTAGCGCCACGCGCATTCGTCCCACAAGTGTGCAACAGCCCCAAGGACTGAGAGCAGTAGTTTTCTAAGTTGTGGCTCTCGCCTCTGCGCTGCGCAAATTCGTCTTGAAAGATTGCACGAGTTTCAAGAGGTCGTAGAGTTGAAGTCCCAAGACTTGTGATCCGGTACGATTGAGGACTGTCAGGACTTAACAGTCACGTTGATTCGCGGTGTGGAAGTCCATTCAGGGCTTTCACTGGCCCTCCTCCTACTCATCCTTCGCCTATTCGGTCCCTCCATCTTGCCTCCTGTATCCCAAGCTGAGGCGGCCTTGTGGCATAAGTTCGACGGCTTCCCCGATGCCAGCGACTCGGACGACGAGGACGCAGCCCGCGAAGCGAGGCTCTGGGTCGAGTAGCCTCTCCATCGCTGGCCTCAGATGTTTGAACCTCTGACCTTCGTGCGCGTGCGGCTGCCCTCTGTCGGGTCAGCAGGGCCCCTCTCCCCTGCCGCCTGCTCCGTCCTGCCCGCTCCTCCCGAGGAGGAGGAGGAGGAGGAGGAGGAGGAGGAGGAGGAGGAGGAGGAGGAGGGGGAGGAGGAGGAGGAGGAGGAGGAGGAGGAGGAGGAGGAGGAGGAGGACTGGGCAGCGGCTGCCCTCTGCCTCAGCCGCCCCCGGGAGGCGGCGGGGCTCCGGGAGCCGCGGGCGGAGCGGCCGCCGACGCCAGGGGGGCGCTGCTGCCGAGGGAGCCGCCACGGAGCCTGCGCTGCCCAGCTCTGTCTTTCCTGTGCAGCCCGCGCGATGGCCACTCGTGCACACGGTGAGGCCTGTGCACCGAGCAGCTCGGACGCGTCACAGAGGCAGGGCGAAGCCTTCGTCTCCCCTTCCTCGTCACCCTGCTCTGCCTGCGCCTCTGTCTGAGGCCGAGACCTCGCAGACTGGCCGCGGATGCATGCTCTCCGTCAGCGCGCCGCATGACGAGAGAGCGGCTGGGCCATAGAAGGATCTGGCCTCCAAGTACGGATACTGGCCCTTGTGGTCGATGATGACGTGGGTCGTCTCCCAGTTCACGAGCCTCGTCCAGCGAGGCGGGGGGGAGAAGTTCCGAATATTGAAAAAGTGGAGCACAGGGAAAGGGCATGCAGGACAGGCTGGCGCAGAAAGATGGGCGCGAGAAGCAAACGAAGAAAATATACAACTACAAACAAACAACCAACCAAGCAAGCAACCAGAACGTGCGCTGTCAGCTTGCTGACGGCGGGACGCAGTGTTATGTGCGACACGGCCGGTGTGGGACGCAAGCACACACACACACAGCAAAAGCGCTGCCAGCTCACTGTAAGATTGCTGGCAACGAAACCACGCTCCCTCCGACGCGGTGGTGATACAACCTCCGGTGCAACGCACCCGGGCAGAGCTCCGAGCGAATGGATCACCGCGTGCGGCAGCTCGTGGGCGCCCCGGGACGGCGCGGTGGCAGACCGTGCAGTGCTGCCCTCGAAGGCCCCCGCGAGCCTCACCAAACACGGCCCGCCGCCGCTCCGCCTCGGGACCCCCCGGGGGCCCCAGATCGACCCGCGACGTCCTCTTCCTCTTCCTCCTCCTCCTCTGCCTCCTCCTCCTCTGCCTCCTCCTCCTCCTCCTCCTCCTCCTCCTCCTCCTCCTCCTCCTCCTCCTCCTCCTCCTCCTCCTCCTCCTCCTCCTCCTCCTCCCACCCCGAGGCCGCCCCGACTCGCCACGCGGCGCGTCACCGCACCGCCCCGGGGAGCGCCGCAGCTCGCGCGAGGAGCCGGGGGAGGGGCCCAGCGTCGGGCCGAGTGCGGGCCAGACCGCCGAGCAGCACCGGCAGAGGTGCACGCGCGGGGAGCGCCGAGGGGCCGAGACGGCAACGCTTGGGGGAGGGAGAGGGGCGGAGTGCAGCGGAGGGCGGCGGGTGGCAGGCCGAGGCAGCAGCGCGACCCGCGCCAAGGGGTTGGCGGGCGAGCGCGGCCAGGGCTGCGCGAGAGAGGGAGGACGAGATGGAGAGAGACAGAGAGAGACAGAGAGAGAGAGAGACGCGCGCGCGCGCACGAACACATACACGCGCACACACACACACACACACTCCCCTCCACACACACACACACACACACGCAAACACACACAAAAGAAACTGTGCGCGCAAACGCACACGCACACGCACACGCGAACGCCAACACGCAAATGCACACGCGCGAACGCACACACACACACATTTTGGGGGGCGGGGGGCGGTCGCGGCCTCGCGAGCGGCGACGGGGCGGAGTAAGTCCAAGCGGCGGGAGCTGGCGCGCATGGCCAGGCCCTCAGCGGGATCGCTCTGCATCATCGCACGAACACCCCCCCGCACACAAACACCCCCACACACACACACACACACACACACACACACACACACACACACACACACACACACACACACACGCACACACGCACACACACACACACACACACATCCGTAGCCATGTTGGCTCCAGGCCATGGCACCCCCCCGTCGGGTGCAAGTCTCAACGAGGCGCTCTGAGCACCAAGGGAGGTGCTTGGCAGAGCCAAAATCTTCTTGTTTCACCGCTTTGTTTGTGGCCTGCGCGGCCGCCGTTTTCGGGCGAGTTCCTGAGTGTGCGACACTCCTGAGAGGGAACTTCGCAGTTGGAGCCATGGCGGACGGCGCGGGGAAGAGCAACGGCGGTGCGGCTCGTGCTGGTCGAGGCGAGCACGGCGGTGGCAGCGGGAGGCCTGCCCGCGGCCGGCGCGACGAGCAGCGCACCAATTGGCACTGCCGCTTCTGCGCAGGCCCCAAGCCCGGGGGGAAGAACTACGTCAACTTCGCGCACCAGCTGCAGTGTCGCAACTGCGGCCAATCCAAACGGGTCGCCTCCCTGTGCAGAACCTCAGCTCTGGGCCGCCGTCACAGGATGCCCCGTGGCTCGCAGACAAGCGCCGAGCCGAACAGGACAAGCTATCCAAGGAGCAGGCCAAACGCATCGCCGCGCTTGAGCGCCAGCTCCATGAGGTCTCAAGATCCCTGCGGGAGGTGGCCCCCCGCCTGCTGCTGGCGCAGGTGGCGGCGATGTGGCCCCGCCCCCCGGCAGCGCCGAGCTGGGCGTGGCTCGTCGGGCCCGGCTCGCTGAAATCCATAAGACGCTCGAGCACATCGGCAACGTCCAAGAGCCAACCGTGGTCGCGGCCGCCGACGCCCTCCGCGCCGAGCGGGACAAGCTCACGCAGGGGGATTTGGCCTCCAAGCCAGTGGGGACCCAGGTCCAACTCGCGCAGAAGCGCATCCACAAGGCGGAGCTCGGCATCAACAAGACCCAGGACCAACTGGAGCGCAAATGGCAGGCCGCCGAGCGCGCAGGAGGAGGTCGCGGAGCTGGAGGGCGACCTGGTCAAGCAGCACGCGGAGCTCGTGGGCCTCCAGCAGCAGCAGGCAGAGCTCTTCAAAGGGCTCCCTGGCCCACCGGCTGGCGGCGCCTCGGAGGCCGTGGAGCTCGCCCCTGGCCCGGGCGTTGCTCCTGCTGCTCTCGAGCGCTTCCTGCACACGCGCGGCGTCGATGCTGCCGCCCAGGGCCGTTCCTCGCAGGCCGCTGAGGAATTGCGTGCCGCCGAGACGGCCTACCAGCAGCGCCTCGCTGCTGAGTCCGAGTCGGCTCCTGCGGGCGCCATGGGGCCACGGACCGCGTGAGGTGTGCGCCGAAGTGAGGCGGGAGGGCGCCGTGCGGGCGCTGCCACCAGGGCCGCGTGTGCAGATCTCTGTGGCACGAAGCGAATGACGGTGTTGCGAAACGATGATGGGGATAAGTAAGATGGTAACGACGATGGCGATGACGATGGCGATGACCAATGATGACGACGACGATGCTGCTGATAGCGGCAATGCGAATGGTTTTTGGTTATGGTCATGGTATTGACACTGATGCTGATAATGATGGTGGACCACTGGTCATGGTCATGATATTGAGAATGATCATGGTGATGATAATGATGGTGATGATGGTTTTTGGTTATGGTCATGATATTGATAATGATGTTGATAATTATGGTCATGGTATTGACAATGATGTTGGTATTGACAATGATGAAGGGCCATTCGGACAACACGTTTGGTTATGGTCATGGTATTGACGGACGGTGATGTTGATGATGATGGTGGTGATGATGATGATGATGATGATGATGGTGATGATGGTGATGGTGCTAATGATAAGTATGATGATGATGACGATGATGATGATGATGGTGGTGATGGTGATGGTGACGGTGACGGTGATGATGATAACGACGACGACGACGATGATGATGATGATGATGGTGATGCTGATGATGATGATGGTGGTGATGATGATGACGATGCTGATGACAATGTTGATGATGCTGATGATGACGAA